ATCCAACCAGAAGGCAGTCTGGTAGATATTGCCAAGGAGGTTTAGTAACCTTCATCTAACACTTCTGACTGGCAAACAGCATGACCCACTTTGCGTTGACGCTCTTCACAACAAATCCGCTGAGGATTTTTACAGATGCCACAGAGGCAGAATTAAATGAATCCAAGACAGAGACAGAAGAGGCTTTAAATCATTTCTGTGGTCTCTTCTTGATGTTTAGCTTCACTGAAGAGTACTGACCACAGCTAGCGGGCCAGATCCCAGAGCATTACCTAAGCTTGAACTGCTGCTGTAGCAGAATAGTAGCCTTGTATCATTGTCATCCGCAAAACCATGCTTACTTCAAGGAAAAATACGAACGTTTCTGCGTATTTGAGAAGCACAGTGACTTATTGATAGAAAGAAAGCTTCTGAGCCAACATCATTTTTTAATTACCGTGTTGTTTAGCAGCACGAGTTTCTACCCCGAAGCCCTGTTTTAACTTTAATATATGGAACGAGCCGCCGTTTGTTTTGTCATAAATTAACAACCACATGAGGGCAAAAGAGAAAACGGGGCCATGTGTCAGCGCTCAGAGACACCTTGGCGCTGTCACTCAGTTATTATTACCCAGAGAGGGCTCTTTCCTGTCTTTCTGTAATCACAGGTCATCCCTTTCAATAGTTTGGTCTCAGCTATTTGGCTCGTCTGCACGTCTCCAAACCCCACAATATGAATCTCGCAGGCCGCGGCCCGACAGGAGTGACAGTGTTTACACAGAGGCTCCTCAGGCAGGGCTGTGAATCTCATCCACAGTTATTACCACCAGGTTTCTCCCTGTCGTTCACACCCTGCTGGTCTTCATCAAGTCTGCCACAGCAGACTTTTTTTTTTTTTGTGTTGACTTATTAAAAAGGCATTTTCTCCTCTCCTTCCCCTCCTCACAGCCAGAACCGGGCCAGACCCAGCCAACTCATCCATATTCCCCCTCCAACTAGACGGGTTCAAACTTTGCGGTGGCTGGTTTTCCCAACTCAGGGGACTCATCCAAAACGGCCCGCTGACTCTAAGTGGTACCACTGAGCTCTAACTGTCTACCGGTAAGCTCCTCAATTTAAAGATTTGCTTTTTAGCCTTGAAAATCAACCGCATACGAGTCCCTTAATGTGTCTCCAACTTGTGATTTAACGTACAGAATAAGAACACCCCCCTCCTCCAAAAAAAAAATCCCCCTTTTTCCAGTCTAACTTTGTTGTGGCTTTTACTCCGGGCCAGCGGAGTTTAAGGACGGTGCCAATTAGCCCGCAAGTTATTCTGATGGTGCCGCTGATTAGGTCCGTCTGCTGAGGAGGCGACGTGATACTTGATACTTGTAAATGTTGGATATGATCAGGAGGCTTACATCAGGCCTGCTTTAATTTACTTGAATTAAAGACATTTACAGTTCCTTTAAAGGACCAATGAAAGACTAGAAGATGTTATGCTCAGTAAGTTGCAGCAAACTTTACAATGAAAACTAAAATGATTCAGCAGTTTGTTCATGTTTCCATAAAGTATTAAAACAACACAAATACTCTCATATAATAAATAAGCTAATCACTAAAATAACCATAAACAAAACCTCTAACCTGCAGTGAGTTCAGTCAGTGGTCCAAGTGGTCTCTCAGTTGTGTTTCCTCTGCAGGTTCATGCTCTCCATTCTCAGTCCCCCTCTGCCTTTGCTCTCATTGAGAATGAAGGCCTGCACACTGCAAACTCCGTCCACCAGGAGACAACAGTGGAGGGTGGTCCATACGACGCAGAAAAAGGGAGGCTGATGGTGTGATTTTTCCCCTGTAAGTTTTGAGCAGAGGCAAGGCTTTGGCCCTGCCTTCCTCCCTCTGAAGTCTGGGAAAGAAAAGAAAGGCTCCTCCTAATATAAGGTTTCACCACAAACAAACGAAAAGCAACACGAGGTGACGAGTCCAGCTGGTTCGGAGTCAACAAGGGGTGAAGAAATCTGACCCTGAAAATCAGCCTTCATGTCATATTTTCATATTTTAATTCTCATAAGGCCTTGTTTACAGGGTTCGCTCGTCTCCCACACACGCAACACGTCAGTCACGCTTGTTGGAGCTGATGGGTTCTCGTTCCTTCCCTCTCTTTTTCACACACTCATCTGTCAGCTCCATTCATAGAACTCCTCTTCATCCTCAGCTCACCCTTTCTCGCAAATCTGTTTCCTATCAGCTCCAATCTAATGACTGAGTGATTCTGGCGGCCCAGTAGCTTCGGCACAATAATAGGAGGTCTGTTGTGGATGCGAGCGTCTCCCTTGTGTTTACCCCGTATATGGGGTTGTGTGCGTCTCCAGCGGCAGTCCAAGAGCTATTGGCAGCTGTGTTTATTTGGTTATGAGCACAATATGCGCGGGGCTTTCGCAGACAAAAAAGAACGCCCCTCAGCTAAATGTTTTGGATCGAGGAGGAAGCACAGGCTTTGAAGCATGGGGATCCTCTGCGTGGGGAGACATACTTCAGCATGTGGGAGGACAGTTTCGAGCAATCAAGTCAGGACATTCATAATGCAGAACTGTGTATGTGTGTGGGTGCCTGTGTGTGTGACGCACATGTTTGTGTGGGTGTGATTGAGAGAGTGTGTGTCCGTGGTGGTCGTCTGCGTTCGGTAGGGGTCGTCCAATTTAAATAATGGGACAATACAGAGGACGAGAATGGAAAAAAAAAAAATTCAGTTACTTTAAATTATGTTTTCTCTATTTTTAGCTTCTTCTCTGTTCGCTTGAGGGACATCACCTGCTCACGAGTAAACGTTGCTTCATTTTAAGTGGCCAGAGGACAAATATCCTGATTTTTTAGTTGTTTTTTTTCAACCTTTAAACCTACTAAGACACTTCCATGCTGTATTCATTCCCTAATCTCACATCAGAGGGGCATTTCAGCAAAGGAATGCCCACCTTCTTCACTCCATGTACCCCTAGATAAGGTGTCCCTTTCAAATTTTGGCCATTTTTATTCATGGATTCATTCTAAAGTATCTCACTATAAGAAACGTAATCTGCCACACTGATTAAAAGCAGTAGTGGAATGTAACTAAGTATATCTACTGAAGTACTCTAAGTACAACCTTGATGTATTTCCAACATTATGCTGCTTTCTACTTTTACTCCATCACATTTTGTAGTCAAATATTGTTCTTTATATTGTTTAATTTAAGGCTTTAGTAACTTGTTATTTTGCGGATTTGGATAATTAACACAAACATAAATCAACCAATAAATGATGCCATGTTATAATAGATTAAGCGACTCAGCAGGATTTAACGTAACGAGCTCCAGCTGCAACATTAAAGAGCCGATAATTACAACAATACAATATATATGGTTCTGAATTGAGCCCTTGAGATTAAAGGCTACTTTTGCTTTCGGTACTTTAAGTCAATTTAAATACCACTACTTTTGTACTTTTACTTAAGATATTTAAAGCTTGACTTGGAACAACAGTAGTTTTACACAGTAGTATTCCCACTTTTACCTTAAGTATAGGATTTAAATATTTCTTCCATCACTGGTTAAAAGTTGAAATCCAACTCTTTCTGTTAGCCCCTCCTTGTGGCTAAAACACTTTACTGCCAAACTTTACCTGCTGCAGGTGTATTACTGTAAAAATAGATAGATAGATAGATAGATAGATAGATTAAATATACAACCACAAGTGAAAGTGTCTCAAAAACACAGATTCAGACTTCCCGGGTTTTATATCAAACAAACTTTAGGAACTAATCCTGTCTTGCAGAGTGGGGCTTTCTGTATTGTTTATCTTTTTCAGATTTGGTTTCGGGTTTGAACACCCATCTATGTTCTATCTATTATTTTATCCTCTGGAGGATCAGAGGGGGCCTGGAGGTTTTTCAATGCCTGGGTACATCCTGGGCCAACACAGAGAAACAGACAACTATGCACGCTTGTACTCGCAACGACAGACAATTTAAAATCACAAATTAACCTCAGCATGACTTTGGACTGTAGGAGGAAGCCAGAGAGCCTGATGAAAACCCGCGCAGGCGCTGGGAGAACATGCAAACGCCACACAGAAAGAAGAAGAAACACAAAGAACACAGTCCCTGATTAGAACCTGAGGACCGATGGCTGAATTACCCCAATATTACAACTTGCCTTTGAGAACTGTGGAGAGATTTTAAAGTGGTTTGAGTCGAAGGTGAGCTGGTGTGCTGAGCTGCAGTGAGTGGCAGATGGGTAAAGAAGAAAGAGAGGCAGAGACTTTAAAGACATTAAAACGGAAACAGTGGGGTAGAACTTAAACCATTTTAAGGCAGGATGTGATTGTTTTAAAAGGGAGGAAAGACGCAATATATAACTTTGATTCCCAGAGATGAGTTTAAGGGATTTAACTTAAATTAACTTCTATATTCACTGCAATCTGAACTTATATATATATGGGGATAGGTTTGTATTTTTATTGTATTTTTTCGCCATTTCTATTGTTTATTTTATATTTTTACTGTAGTAAGTGCATCTGAATCTTGTTGTATATGCTCCGTGTATACAGTGACAATAAAGGAATCTAATCTAATCTAATCTAATCCAATCTAATGAAAAACCAGAGGGGTATTTTCAGTCAGATTAGTGAAAATAACTAAACTGAACAAATGTTAAAAAGGAATAAACCTTTTTTAAAATAAATACATATATATTTTAAAAATATATATTTAAAAAAAAAACAAACAAAAACAACACATACACATTAACGGTATTTGTGGGCAAAGAGTGCATGCACGAAAATACGTAAATGCAATAAATTAAAATTAAAATAAGTAAATGAATAAATAAATAAGAAAATAGGATGGTTTCCGAGCAATAAAATTAAAGAAAATAAAATCTTTGTCATTACCTTCAAAACAAATAAAAAATATTTTTTCCAACCCCGACCAAAGGCCCCCAGTGACGTCACGCAGACTGACCAATAGGAGGCCGGGCTGTGACAGCTGACCCTCGGCTTTCAGCAGCAGCGACTGTAATCAAAACAGAGCAGCACTTCAATATTATTGTTTTTTTATTTCCAAGGAAGAACGTGACAAATAATTGACTCAACAATGACGAATCTTGTTTTAGAGCCTCGCTGAACAACGACTCGTTGCTGTTTCTGTTGCTTCTTTACCGACTTTTTACTTTTCCAAGCATGGTGAGTTTGACCCCCTTCCCTTCTATCACATGTTGACCAGGTGTTTTTTTTATTTTAATATTTACGTGGACTTGACGCTTAGTTAGAGCCAACTGCAGGACCAGTTGCTTTTGTCCACTTTGCCCTACAGAGAGCGGCTGGATTAGGTGATTTAAACGGGCTTTACTCCTGCGCTCTGCCTCGTCTGCTGCGGATAAAATTAGACTCCTGCAGCGTTAAGAGATCCTGTGTCACTGTGGATCTGCTGAGCCCCGAGGAGGAAGCCTGAGGGGCAACTGTCAGGGTCTATATATGTGCTTGATGAATAATAATAATAAAAAAAAAAAAAACACTGAGCAGAAACCTCCAACCTGGAGAACACTGTGTTGTTATTACTGCACATAAACCAATACATCTTAGGATACCTCTGTACTGAGCCTTTCATTGGACACTTACATGTAAACAGTATTTTCAACATTATTGTAATTTTCAATGGTTTCTGCATCATGGGCGATATTTCATGTTTTCTTTTCTCTGGTGCAATATTTCACTTTCATGTGCAACACTGTCAGTATGTGCAATATTTTATTTTCATTTCATTTTTCAGGTGCAATATAATATTTCATGTCATTCCTTCATTATTGTGTCATATTACCTGCATATAATTGCCAGCATTACTTTTTACAGCTCTATTCTAGCCTAATATTAGCTCACTTATGTGTCAAACTTGCTTTCTACTTTTCAGCCATTGCATTTCTTATGTTGTCTCATTTGTATTTTTCTGAGCAATATCTTGCACAAGAATTTCCTTCAGGAGTAATAAACTTTTCCAGCCTTATCTTATCTTATTTTAACTTATCTTTCACCCAAATTAAACTACAATATAAAGCTTTTCCGCTAATTGGAGTGAACTCAGCTTGTGACACAACTTGCACTATGACTTCACCATGAGTAATTATCCAGTAGCATGACTCTTCTAATTACCTGGCGATGTGCTGCAGGATGCCGAGGGCCCCCTGGCGCTGTGCGACCTCTGCTTGGCTCAGGTGTGCTGCAGCCTTGACGCTCTGTGCAGCGTTCGAGCAGACGGCTCCATGAGCCTCATCTGGGCCCCGGTGTTCCCACAGGAGATGGCCGACCAGCTACTGCAGAAGATGACAACTAAAGGTAGGTCAGGAAGACTCTAAACACTCTGAAAACATCAGTATCAGCAGCTGACAGCTACCAAGAGACAGCAGTTCAAACTGAAGGAAAGAAAAATCCATCCTGGGTGTTGAATAAATCAATGTGAAATCACACTGTAGCCTGTCATAAATAATTAATCTGTGACCTGAAGTTAATTGTATTTCCCCCACAAACAAAAGTTAATTACACTGTCAGAAATCATTAACCTGAGGTGACCGTATAATCAGATTATTTATTACTTCACACAGAGGTTAGAGCTTGTCTGGCTGGAATAGTGGGAAAAATCTTCATCTCAGACATAATTGTGGTTAAATTTATGCTTCTTTTTCCTACAATGTCCTTCTGTTTGCTTTTCCATCAAGGGATACTGAACGACACAACAGTTGGAATTTTCCGAAACTGCAAAGAGCTCCGTCTCCGTCGGGCCTCCATCCGATCCTCTCCCGTGTCTGCCGAAGCTTTCCGCTTGGCTCTCTGTCCTCACCGGCTCGTGGAACTAGATGCCTCCTCGGTGTCCGGGAGTCTAGCCGGAGCAGACATCGTCTCAGGCCTGGCCTCCAACCCCGAGTGCAGGTCGAGCCTGCAGAGGCTGTCCCTCAGTGGGTTACGTCTGGACTGGGAGTCTCTGGAACAGGATGGCGGGGTCCGTGTTGGCTTCAGCTCCCTGCAGGGCCTCAGGACGCTCAACGTTGCCAACACGGACCTTAGTGATGATGCCCTGGAGGACATCTGTACCCTCCCTCACCTAGAGACTCTGGACATCTCCTGCAGTGCCGTCTCAAAGCTTACGGCTCTCCTTGAGTGCAAAAACACCCTGAGATCCTTAATCGCCCACAAACTGCAGCAGCTGGATATGTCACCTGCCAGGCTGCTCTTTGTCTTTAACCAGCTTCACGCTCTCAGACATCTGGACTTCTCGGACGACCACTTCGCTGTGGACGACAGCGATGGAAGAGTTGGAGATGAGACAGTGCGGCAGCTTCTGGAGGGCAGTCCGCAGGTCCTGCCATCGCTCGTTTCTTTAGATATCTCCGGGCGGAAGAGAGTCAGTGAAGCTGCAATCAGAGCCTTTGTGGAGACCAGGACTGGACTGGTCTTCTTGGGCCTGCTGGCCACTGGAGTCAGCTCCTGCGACATCCTCTTATCAAGGAAAAACCTCAAAGTAAGGATCTACTGCTAGCATCAGAGGCATGGTTTGTGAGATGTCCGGCCATCAGAGAATGCCGTAGGGAGGCATATGAACTCGATTCTTGCAGAAGTTTCTCATTTATCTTTGACTTGAGGCTCTGTTTGTGTACTTAGTGAATATGCGCTCTGCATTTCCTGCCTCTGTGACGCTGCTGATCTGCTGTGTGTGTTCAGGTAACCGGAGAGGCTGATGAGAACCAGGTGTGTGAGGCGCTCAGGAGGTACAGAGACCGGGAGTGTTTCATTCGAGAGGCCCTCGTCCATCTCTACAATCTAACCACCGACGCTGACAAACCACAGCCAGACATGCTGAAGGTGCCGTGACCGGGTTCCTTCATCCTTCATGTTCTCGTCACACACATCATCTCAGCTGGCACAGAGGGAACATAGGTTTAGTTGATGAGCAGATATTTAACTCTTGATAATCAGTCATTTTTCAATGCAATAATGGAAGTAAACTGAAAAATCTTAAGGTTTTAGATCGTTGGGGAAACAAAACAAGCCAAACTGAAGACAGCATTGCATGTGACATTTCATAAACTAAATGAATCATCGATTAACATAATATCTGCAGAGTGAACATTAATGCTTACACATAACCTGTAGGTGAAACTTTTTGTTTTAAATCTATTCTTATCTGAATACAGTTTTGTACATCCGTCAGTATTTCTTATTTTCCTAGTCTTTCCTGTTGGTTAGGATAATAATATACTGATTGGCTGATATTAACCCATCACTGAAACTTTTTTTTTTCCAGAACATAATGCAAAAAAAGTGGCTTTGGGTCATTTAAAAAATGGTGTCATCACATAGTTTGTCCAGCAGAGCGTCCACACCTCCATTGTTTACCATCAGCAATATCTGCAGCGCATGTAGCAGAGTACATATCGGAGCTGAGCAGACGGTGTCAAGAAGTGTCTTCAGTAGGTTGGTAGCTACTTTGCAAGGCGTTGCTGCATAGTTTCCCTTTTCCAATATAATGCTAACATACTGAATATTTATATTTATGTAACGAATATTAGCCAGTATATTCATATCACAATTTTTTACTCCCTAAAAACTTGTATCAGGATCGGCTCCAAAAATCCAGTGTTGGTAGGGCTCTATAACTAGAAGCTACAAGAACAGGTCTAAATTAGATGATGACACAAGTTATCCAGCCATAAGTAAAGCAACAGTTTGGCCAGATTTGTCTAAATATCCTTATTTAAAGGTAGATCTGGAGAGAGTTTGCCTAAATGGGTTCACATGATGTGAAATCGGTCCATAACCTTTAATGGTGTCCACAAACAGAAAGATTTTACTCCAGTGTTGCACAATATCTTCAATTCTTCCCCGCAGGATGAATTAACTTGTTCAGTTTGAAGACACAAACTCACTGAGGTAAAGATTTTGCTGAAACATAAGCACTAATTTACAGTGTGAAAATGCAAAATGGAAGAGTATAATAAGATATTAATATAAATGAGATGCTTTCTCTAAAGGCTTTTGTAGTTTGTGTCATCGTTAGCCTGGTATTTTAAATCAGTTTGCCCAAGCTCAGTTAGAACATACAGTACAGCTGCAGTTCAAATGTCCTGCGACCTGATGCTCTAATTACTGTAATCAGAGAGACGTGATGAGGTGGTTTCTAGTACAGACTGACACATACAATTTAGCGGCACAGCTGGCTCGCTGAGTAGGTTTTAGCGGTGTGAAGGTTACACACTAATGCATAGCTGAGAGTTGTTCTAGCCAGCTTCCAATCTAGCAGCCCGATACTGACAAGGACAAATCGTTTTGCAGTTGTAATGATTGCATCGTTGTTTTCCGTAGCTGGTGGTGAGCGCGATGCAGAGCCACGCCGCCTCCCTGCACGTCCACCTGGTGGCCACGGCGTGCGTGTTCAACCTGACCACGCAGGACCTGGCCGAGGCCATGTCCGTCCGGCTGCTCAGCTCCTCCGTCAACCAGCTGCTGTACGCCATGAAGACTTTCCCCAACCACCAGCAGGTCAGGAGATCCACACAGGGCCTCGGATTTCACGTCCATCATCATGTGTAGTTACACAACAGCAAAATCTGGCAGTGAACGCTTTCGTTGCTACCAGCTGGCTTGCCATTCGCCAGATTCTGATCTAATATTTTCTGCATTTGGTTGCAGCTCCTGCTCTGCCACCTTCAGACAGTATTCGTAGCTGCTCCATATATCTTCTTACACCCGTTTGTTTCTTCTATTCATGAACTGTTTCCATCTCTCCAGGTCCAAAAGAACTGTCTGCTGGCTCTCTGCAGCGACTATATCCTTCAGGATGTTCCTTTTGACAAGTTAGTTTACTTTCCCTCAGTTGTAATATGACTTTTGAGCTCATGGCACCGCAGTAGCCAAAATAATCAGTGTACTAATAGAATCGCAGTCGAGTGTTTTTCCAACAAATTGGGATCCAGCTGAAATATATTTTGTCTTGAAATGGTAGCTGCCAAAAGAAATAGCTCTTCCAGATGTTAAAATGCAGAACCGTAACTCAGATTTTCCCAAGGTTTTGTCTGTGCATCACTGGTATATTTGTATAATACCGTGTTCCTCACGACGGTTCTGTGATCACGGTTCAGGTATTTAGCCGCCACGCTGGTGATTAACTGGCTGAGCAACCACGAGGATCCGACCCTTCAGAGGATGGCTGTGGCTGTCATCTCCATTCTGGTGGCCAAGGTCAAGACTCCGCTCACTCACTGCGCATTAGTGCGCCGCGGGAAAATAGCATGACACCTGTTAGTCGCACCTTTTGAAAGCTCCCGTACCTCCGTGACACTTGTTTCGGCAGCCAGCTTTGCATGCTTTCATTTAGTCTAGTTAAATGCGGCCAATTTCCACGTGGGGATAAAAGCGCTCTTTGTTGTAGTTTGACATTTTGGAGAATGGATTAAAAACTCGCAGAAGCACTCATTTGTTTGTTCCGTGTGCAGTTGTCCACAGAGGAGACGGCGCAGCTCAGCAAGGACGTCTTTATTATGAAGGTACATTAACACATTCGGGGTGTTTAGTTTCAAACTTACACAACTGACCCCGGCTTAGCGCTCGATGTGCCCGGGTGTATTTCTAGTTCTCGCCTGCTCTCTGTGTTTCTCACCTGCTTATTTTCCATTACTTAACGTACACACTCGTCTACTTACTGTCACTGTCACTCCATCGCTTCATCCGTCTCAGTTTGCTGTTACTTCATTATGCAGTCATCTCATTTTGTCCATGCAATCAAGCCGCTTTCCACACCTCATTTATCTTCTTTTAAATTATGTCTAATACCACACATTAAAATCTAAGCCATTTAAATCCCATAAATGCGAGTGCAGCTTGCTTTTAGTGCTGAATTTCTGACTTCTATTTGAGAAATATAGATAGAATTTCCTTTTTTTTTCAGTCTTGTCCGGGTCTGTCTGTGTCATTTTTCTCTCCTTGTTGTGTCTGTCTCACAGCAGCTGCTGGCTATTGTGCAGCAGAAAGCCATGGTGGGAGTGGTAGACTCCACTCTGAAGTTCGCCCTGAGTGCTCTGTGGAACCTGACAGATGAGATGCCCGCGGCGGCTCGCAACTTCATCGAATGCCAGGGCTTGGAGCTGTACGAGGAGGTTTTGGAGGTAGGGGAGCCCAGAGAATGCACTGAAACGTACCCTTGCACAGAATGACATGCACAAACACAAACGTTTGTCCTCTTTTTCTTTTGCAGTCCTACTACAGTGAACCTTCTATTCAGCAGAAAGTTCTTGGCCTCCTGGTGGGTACAGTGTTGGAGTTAATACACATGTGCCCAATTGAATTTAATTTAATTGAGCAGAAGGAATGAGCTGCAGTTTATCTGTGGGCAGTTGCATGTGACACAGTGCATCTCTGCCTCTAATGTGCTGAATTACATTTTCGCTGCCATCACTTGTTTACCCGTTTTTCAGAACAACATCGCAGAGGTGGAGCAGCTACAGGCCGACCTGATGGAGGAGGACCTGTTGGAGCACATCCTCAGTCTCCTGCAGGACTCCCAGGTGGAGGTGGGAGTCCGGTACTTTGCGGGGGGGATTCTGGCGCACCTCTCCTCCAGAGCAGAGGCCTGGACCCTGAACGACGAGCTCCGAACCACCATACTGGAGCAGCTGGTGTGTGTTTTGGATGCTGGGGTTTTCATATAACGGGCGGTAAAATCCACCCTTGGCCCCCTTCAATGCGTCTTTGTTTTCTGTGCAGCATGATTCCATAATGACCTGGACCCAGCTGGAGAGAGAAATGGTGTCTTACAGGTGAGAGAAGCTGGACAGAACAGACAGAAGGGTTTGTAGAGGTGCTCAGTTCAACATTAAATATAAGCTACAGTTTGCAT